GTTCAGGGTCACTTTAACCTTTATTATAAAACAGACGGTTCTGGTGCTGAGTGTGTATGTCAATACAGTGCCAAAAAAAGGCAAACTACTACATGTAAGGGACTAGATCTTGTAGTATAAGGATACCACCTCATGGATTTGCTTTTCACAAATGAAAATGTTTAGAAGTATAAAATATAAAGTAGTAACCATTTTATGAAAGCAATGAGGCTCAAGTCTCTGTTACTGTATATTATGAATATAGTAATAGCTATAGGAACTGCAAGCACTGCAGTATGTTGTGACTGTATTCATTGCTTAAATGAATCAGGTCTCGACTCTCACAGTTATGGTTATTGCTTATTTAATTAAATAAGAATAAGATGTATAATTCTTAAATGTATAATTTCTCTCACAGGTATGGTTCCTGGTCTGCTTAATCTGGGGAACACATGCTTTATGAACTCACTTCTCCAGGGCCTGGCAGCGTGTCCTTCCTTCATCAGATGGCTTGAAGACTTCACAAGTGAAAGCAGTGTCCATCCAGAGAGAACAGAGAGAGAAACTCAGCTGTCCCGATCTCTAATGCAGTTACTTAAAGGTTCTTTCCCATTCACTTCAGCGCACACAAATGCATTTAATGTTAATGCACACTAAAAGGGCGATCTCTCCATTTTCCTTCCTTTATAAAGCCCTATCAAGTCCTGGTCCTGAAGAAGATAATGTTTTAGATGCAGGAGGCCTTTTAGAAGCTCTCAGACTCTATAGATGGCACATCAGCTCTTTTGAGGAACAGGTAGGATGTTCTCAAAGAAAATGCAGTTGCATATTATGCAGGAATAGTTCACCTAAAAATGGAGGAATTCATTAAAAACCCCCTGTGGTGAAAATCAAGTGGAAATGTATTAATTTTAACTTAAAAATGACAATATAAATGAGCATTTCTTGCCTTATCTCCACAGGATGCTCATGAGCTCTTTCATGTTCTCACATCATCATTAGAGGAGGAACGGGAACGCCAACCCAGAGTTGCTCACCTGTTCGACATGCAAACACTGGAGGTAAACGAGAGCAGTCACCATTAATGCAAAAATAAATAGATTTTCCATAGACATTTCTTACCACCCCACTGTAAATGCTTTCAGAAATCTGTGGAGTCCAAAGAAAAAAATATCAGCTGCAGAAGTGGTGGTAAATGAAGGCTTTCTTCTTTAAACATTTAGACAATTGCTTTTTGATTGCGTGAAATTATTAGCATTTAGTAATTTATCTTTTTTATCTCCAGGCCCATTACATCCTATTCCAAGTTTATGGAGGACTCGGCACCCTTTTCATGGCCGGTTAACAAGTTATATGGCTTGCAAGCGCTGTGAGCAGCAGGTGACCTTTTTCAGACTTTTTTTTTCATATTCAATTTTAAATAATTGAAATATATTAATTATTTATTTGTTAACCATCTTCGTTTTTGTTTCAGAGTCCTGTGCACTATGATTCTTTCGACAGCTTGTCTCTTTCAATCCCTTCAGTACAGTGGGTAATGCAAACTTGTTCAAGAGCAGAATAGCTTCCTTAAATATTTTGTCATCGCTATATTCAAATATAATAGTTGAAGTTGTATTACTCAGCAAGCATCTTACAGACAAAAAGTATAGTTGGTGTATCATTCTTTCAGGGCCGACCTGTTACTTTGGACCAGTGTCTAAAGCATTTCATCTCCTCTGAAACCATCAAAGAAGTGGAGTGTGAAAACTGTACCAAGGTATCAAATTAGTTAAATTTAGCTGGACAAGTTAGTATCATTGTACCTCATCAAACTGATTCTCTCTGTCTCTTCATAGCAACAGGCTGGAGAGCTTGTAAATGGAGAAGTTCTTGAGAGTCAGAGGACAACGTTTGTCAAACAGCTGAAACTTGGGAAGGTATACAGTACATATTTGTAATTCTCGCATTTACACCAACAGCCTTTCCTGATGTCCGACAGTTGACTTAAATGATAAAGGCCTGAAAGATAACTATAACGATAATGTCTACATCAACTCCCAAAATCATTCGGTTTATTCTAAGTGGACACTGGAGTTTTGTCTTCTGCAGCTTTAAATGCTCGATGAATGATTGGCTGTCAATGTTTTTTTATCGTTTATTTGCTGTGAAAGTGATTCCAACTATATCGTTCCTCTGTGCTGTTATCGTTATTGTTGTGGTGTGGATTCTGCTATTCTTTTATGTATCATTATAGTTAACATTCTTGATGTGAACAGGGCTAAACAGCACTATTAAGTTGGTTTGTGTGTATGTGTGTGTTTCTTTTCATGTTTAGTTGCCTCAGTGCCTCTGCATCCATTTGCAGAGACTGACGTGGTCTAAAGAGGGCACTCCCATAAAGAGACAAGAGCATGTTCAGTTTACTGAGTATTTGTCTTTGGATCGATACAAACATTGCACTGCTGGTCAAAACCTGCAGAGGACCAGCAGAACAAACAAACCCATTTCTGTCAAAGCTGCCGGAGAACAAAAAGACAAAACCATTGCCAATGGTGTTGGTAAGAGATGTGAACTTTTCCGTTGGTTATCACTGTGATGTGATGCTGTCGTTTAGATCTGTAAATATGGGTTTACTCCAGATAAAGGTTTATTTATGTTCATTGCAATCATTTTGCTATTTAGAATAATAATAATAATTATTGTTATTATTAATACTACTAATACTATTATTATTATTCTATAGAATGTATACAAAATACAATATAAAATGAATTTTAAAGTTGTCTTTAGATTTGTCAGTATGGATTTACTAATATAGATAGATATTAAAGCCAATCAAATATCCTTGCAATCCTTTTGCTATTTATAATAACAATAATGATGATTATTTTTATTATTTACATTTTTTATTATATATTTTTTTATTTAATACTAATAATTTTCTGTACAATGTATACAAAATATGATTTTATTTTAGTGTCTTAATATTCATTTCAATGCTGATGTTGTCATTTAGATTTGTGAATATGGATTTACTCTAGATAAAAAGTAATTAATCTATAAAAACCAATCAAATATCCATGCAATTTATTTGCTATTTTTATAATAGTTGTTGTTACTATTATTATGAATTGTTATTATATATTTGTACTATTGAATACACATATATAAATATATTTTTGAGTGTCTTCATTAAGAATAATTTCAATTTCTTTTGCTTATTCAGAACATTGCAACAACAATAAGCCACTGTCCAATGGAACCTTTCCCTCTGTCTTTCTACACTCACCAGGACTGAGCTCACAACTCAACCTCACTTACGACTACAGGTAGATGCATGCATGCTATTATAAAAAGATTTATTATAATCAACTGCTTCTAAGCTGAACTTTTTTTCATACTACCTTAACTTTTTTTCCCCCCAGCCCCTCAGAGTACCTCTTCCGCTTAACAGCTGTGCTGGTTCACCATGGCGACATGCACTCGGGACATTTTATCACTTACCGCCGCTGTCCTGCTGCTCCCCGTGGACCTTCTCCTTTTAGCTGCCAGTGGCTCTGGGTTTCTGATGATTCTGTGAGGAAAGCCAGCCTTCAGGAGGCGCTCTCCTCCAGCGCATACCTGCTCTTTTACGAACGAGTGCGAAGGCAAGGTCTGAGGGTAGAAGAGTAACATCCCAGTTGACCCGGGTTACTTATTTTTAGTTTAAATCTAGAATGTTAACCCTTTTCAGGCCGTGCTACTATGGCCAAGTGCAATCGTGCATCCCTGTGCATGCAGTTTGCATGCATGTTTTTTTTATCTCTTTGTGAGAAAGAGATGGGAAGACGAGGGTTCTGTATTTCATAAGTTTCCACCTTAATATTGCTCAGTGTCTACGGCGGTTGTTGTTTTAGTAAACTGCATAGGAATGATGCCAGTCATGATTATTAGTTACCACTGATATGGGATTTACATTGAGACTTGAACAGGAAAACTCGACATTTCATTATAACGTTTTGTTGCAAATTGACCCAGAATTGTTGCCTTTCTCATTAAGCTAATGATTTGTAAGACAGAAAATTTTTACGCGGTTTTTCATGCAGGTTTTTTTTAAAAATGTAATTAGCGATGATGTGTCTTTGTCAATGAATTACCCATTGTTAATAGTGTGTTGTAACATGTAAACCCCAACAAGTAGTTTTTGTTTCACATTTTGGAGAAAAGAACACACAACCATGGGATGGATCCTCGTGAGGTGTTTAGTGTCTACATGTAGATCAGTTTTTCTATAAATCCACCTTATTTTTTGTCTTATTTTGTTGTATGATTGACATATCATATCATTTTAACTTTAGTAAATGCTTGGAAGAGAAATTTAGCAGGGATATGAGAATGGCAACCAATGTTCCAGATCCTGAGTGTTTACCACAGATCTTCAGATGACATAAATTATTAGTCTATACGCATTTCCAGTGTTATGTAAGCTCCCTGTTATTTGTTGATTGTAAATTATGCTATTTGCACAAACAATTGTATATTTTTATGGTATTGGTGTGTATGACTGTGTGGGTGAACATTTTTTTCACATATAATAAAATTAATTCCGCAACTGTAATATATTTTTCTTTAACCGTTTTCCACTTTTTCACGTGTTTTAAATCGCATGACTAAAAACCTCTAAAGTTTTTCAGGTATTGAAATTGTCTCCGAATCTTTGCAAATAAGCTATGCTAGAGGGGAAGACGCACGTGGGATGTGGCGCACCAGTTATTAAAAAAATGAGCTTTTTTCTTTTTTCAACAGTTCCTGACATCATTCATATACATTACTTAAAGATGTGATTAATATTCTGCCAAATATCTTCGATTGTTTGACCGAATGTTCTATTTCTCTTACAGTCGATGTGGTTCTATCCCTTTAATAAGAATTGATGCGTCTCTCAGCTCGTGTACTTTAGGGCGTGGTCATGTTAAAGTAAACCAATAGGATTGCGCAGAGCTGTTCTGTTCTATGACGTACACGTCCACGCACGCTGCGTTCGACCCTCATCAAGGATTTTGCACTTTGTTAAGAAAACATTGGTCTGTGATGACAAGTGCACACACGTCGTACTAGTAAAGTAAACTGACGATGCCAGCCCAAAGTGTACTTGTCCGAGATCCCTCTTTTCTGGCGAGGGGACTGCAGCAATACTTGAGTTTGTTAAAGAAATATCCAATCATCACCAAATCGGTGACGAGGTCAGTTACATCTTTGTTAAAGCTAGTTGTGACTCTAGCTGTATTTTGGGGAATGCTGATCAGATCGACAGCCAAGTTTGCTTGATCGTATCGTTATCTTAGTTAAACCACTAACAAATCATTATACATTAAAACATTACACACTGATCGTATAATAACAATACGTTAATAGATCTACATTGACGAATTCTCCTTGCGGTGATATCAGACAAGTACAATTTATTTATATATTTATTTAACTATTTTGCTCATAACAGTACAACATATAGGCCTATAATTGCAAGTCGTTTACTTTTTATTTCGCCAAAATCTTACAAGCAGTTTTTCCTTGTTAGAATTTCTTTTTAGTGATAGAATCACTAACTTAATTACATATTACATTTTTTGGTTGGTAAATGTACACCTAACGTTACTGTATGAAGATGAAATATGCCCCTAACATAAGATAATGATACTTAATCATATATTAATACAGAATCATGAATATAATTAATAATAACCATTTATACATTTCTTATAGTTATTATTAATATAACTGAGGTCAGTTTTATTTTATATATAAGTTAATTACTAAAAAACTAAGCCAGAAAAAAACAACAACTTAATTAGATAAATTCTTTGTAGCAAAATATCTGTTTACTTTACTGTATCCATACCTGTTTTTTTTGTAAGCTTAAGCAATAAGGGACTTTGCACAGAAGTCTTTTTCCATTGGTTGTTTGGTGGGTGGGCCAATCAAGTCCTGTCAAAAGTAACCAAACACAAAAAGACAAGTGTCTTCTTCATTAGATGCAAGACCATTTGGGTACAATGATACAATGTTTGTTTTGTCCTTTCTTACAGTGGCATTCTATCTGCTTTGGGAAATCTTCTGTCTCAAGCTTTGGAGTACAGGAAGCACAGCAAAGAAAATAGCCCAAAAAAGAAAATCAACATTCTGGGACCTGTACACTTTGCAATTTATGGGTAGAATGATTTGAATGAGTTAAATAATTCAATTTGAGTCTTTTTTACAAAAGGATTAAATATTTAATATCAGACCTGTTATACAATGAGTTATGAATGCTTAAATTGTCTCTTTGATGTTTTCAGATTTTTTATCACAGGTCCACTCAGTCATTACTTCTACCATCTCCTGGAGGTGCTTTTGCCAACCACTGTCCCATACTGCCTGATCAAGCGCCTTCTGCTGGAACGTCTCGTATTCGCCCCGGCTTTCCTTTTGCTGTTCTATGTGGTTATGAATGCTTTAGAGGTAATGTTTCATAACTGAACTTCTTTTTGACATTATTCAAAGTTTCAACTTCATTAGACAGAAAAATGTGTTTTCTTAGAGTGCTTTTTCAGATATTACCTTTCCTTAGGATATAAAAAATCTAAACGTTTAAATGAATTTCTCAATGAAGAGACATTAGGGAAGAATGTTCTTTTGTATTTAGAAACTCATTTCTTCCCCGAAACAAAGTAGCTTTTCATGGCTCACCTGGTGTTTATGTCCATTCACAATTTTTATCAATCTGACTGTCCTTCAAGGTTACAGAGCGCTGAAGCTGTATCTTGTACAATTAGCAAACACACACACACACACAACAGACCCAGGGACATGCACAGGAAGAGAACACAGAGAACAGAAGTTATTATAAAGCATATGCAGATAAACAAGTTAATATAAATGTAAAAGTTAGGGTTAGGGTGATTACGTTTACTATGGAAGCTTGTTTCCACCACAGAATGAAAAATAAAATAAGAAATTGCGACTTTTTTATCTCACAATTCTGACTTTTGCCTTGTAGTCGCGAGTTCATATCTTACCATTCTAATAAAAAAGTCCGAATTGTGAGATATAAATGTGCAATTATGACTTTTATATAGTCCGGTTCATATTTATATCTTAAGATTTATATCTTTACAAAAAAAATTTTTTTACAAAATAAAGAGAATTGTGAAATAAAAAGTGTTTATTTGTTTTATTCTGTGGCGGAAACAAGCTTTCATTCTAAAGCTACTATAATGTGCACTAAACTTACATTAAACATTTTATCTTACATTTCTAATTCATGAGATATGCTGTTTATGGTTGCACAGCATCCTTGTGATTCTGAAAATAATGAAAATGAATCTTTGCAGGGCAAGACAATCACAGATGTTCAAAAGAAAATTAAAACAAGTTACTGGCCTGCAATGAAGATGAACTGGAAGGTTTGGACCCCGTTTCAGTTTATCAACATCAACTATATACCAGTACAGGTGAAGCACAAGAGCATGACACCATTTCCTCTCTTTCAGATTAATCTCTGATCCATTATCTCACTTTCGTTTCCTTTAATCTTTTTACAGTTTCGAGTGCTGTTTGCCAACATGGTTGCCCTGTTCTGGTATGCCTATCTAGCCTCTGTTAGGAAATGAAACCACAAAACCAGTAACAGTGAGTCTAGATTGGTTTAAAATGAATCCAGTTTGTGCCTTTAAAGGACTAATGTGTAGCACTGTTTTAAATATCTTCCAGAACAACTGACAGGGAATATTGTTCGTCTTCTGTAGATCAAAATTGAGATTGTACTGCTACTTCCATTGACTGTGTATTGAATTATTGCCATGAAATTAATATTTTTAGAACTAAAATCTGTCGCTAGATTTTTTTATGCTCGTGTCTTTGTGCTTGTGGAGGCACCGACAATGATGTCAGCATTTTTATTGTGTTGTATTTGATTAATAATTAAAAAAAACATTGATTACAAACTAATTTTAGCATTTACTAATAGTTATTATCTTCACTAGAGTTTATTGTAAGTTTATGTACATAAATAGCAGTGACCTTGCTAATATGTTGTGTATACTTTTATAGCCCTGATAAAATGCAGACAATGTTTTTTAATGACATTTTGTTTAAAATATTATGTTATCTATGTTTAAATATAATATTATAAAATCTCAATATTATGATTTAAAGTTTCAATACTGTATGTGTTTTAAAGGAAGGTGGGTTATATTGTAGTTTAGAGAAATGTTAAAAACCCATTTTGCAGAGCATTCACAGCGTCTGTATGAACTAATAAGATATATTTATAAAAAAATATATAACTTATTGTACAAACAAAGTTGCCTCACTCTCAAACACACTATCAGTTTGTGATTGTTTTGAAACCCACCCCCACCCTGACTTTCCTTTTCAGTGATTATTCAGCGACTTTCTGTTTCCATACTTCAGAAAATCTGTGAGCATGACAGGCCATAAACATGACGTAGGGCACAAACATCAGGGTGTGTTCAGAGCTTTAATAAACATGCACGAGAATTACGTCATAGTGGAATCTTGTAGATTGAACCAACTTCAAATAATGTACAGTATGGCCAGATCTTTGTTCCTTAATGCTTTTATTGTTGTTTAACATTTGTGTAATTTGCATTAAGTATTCAGTTATATAATGTAATTTCCTTGATCAAATAATGTTCATGTTGACTTCATTTGTTGCCACAAAGTTTTGTAAAGAGCAGTGCAGTTTACTTGTGGATATTCAACATCACAAAAATGTGTTTTGTTGACAGCTACTTACACAACTTTCATTTTCCATTCTGCTCATGATGACATTGGAAAGGTATGGTATTTCCCATTGTCATGTGACGAGGGAAACCCAGGTAAGCCGAAACATGCCATATAAAACAACCACGCCCAGTCCCATTTGTGCACAACAGCGTGCCAAACTGTTTTGAACACTTTCCATTTATCATTTGTCTTATAATTGCTATGTTTGGTTTCTGGAGACATGTCAACTGTTTACTTAAGAGTACTCAAGAAGACTTCTAAGCATTTAAAATAAAGAAAATGAAATATTAAAACATTATCAAATATCAGGATATTTCTTATTTGAATTCCCCCCCTTAACTTTTGGTTTTATTATTATTATTTTTTTCTGAAGAACTAGGGTTCTATTCTTGGAAAACCTGGAAAGGTCACATACCCTAATTGTAAAAGTGTGCTTTTAGACCTGGAAACAGGGACGTGCACAGACATTTTGAGGGGCAGGGGCTCAAGTGAAAAAAAGGGCACTTCTCGTATATTTTTAAAAAAAAATTATTTTACTTTTTTTTAAACAAAAAAGTATATATATTAACACAACTCTAATATTTTTTTTAAAAAATATTTTAAAAGTTAATTAATTTTATCTCCCTCAAACTCATACAATTGTATAATTTGTATAAGGCCATCCTTAAAAATATTTTGGTTTGCAGTAACAGCAATTTTTTTTAAAAAAAGGGTCGGTAGGTAGGTCTATATTTTTTTTTTCCAAGATTCAGTGTAAAAAAAAAAAGGTACAATTTTGGAGATGGTGATCGTGAATTTAAAAAAAAAATGCATATTGTGACGTCACTGACTGGGTCTTCAAACTGCATCCACCGCTAGGTGTTAATGCAAAATACGACCAGTTACATTTTAGGCTAGTCACAAAATGTATAAAATATCTATTTGTTATGCATATATACATGAGATAAGCAAAAACAAGTACAAACACATGGTCAAACAAAGAATACAATTAAACAAAGATACAAATTAGCCTATATACACAGTGCTTTAATTTCAGGAAGGTCTAAAATTAGCTACTTTTCAGTTAAATCTGTCGCTCTCTCTGAAAAGAAATTTAATTTAGCTAGTAATCAAATGTAAAATGACACTGCATAGTTTATCATGGTTAGATTAATGCTTATTAAAGTTTAAGTTATTCATTCAAGAGCTGTGAGTGAATTTTATCTGCCTTTTGTTGTTTGATTCGCATTGGCTCAATCGTCACGTTTATTAGACTACTGCCCCTTTAAGAACGAATGCAGAACTCTACTGTAATAGATGACTGATGCTGCACCATCATTTTCTCCCAACTTACGTCCAATTAAGACATAAACTGTGTTTAAATGAATCTTAGAGCAGGTCATTTTTATATTTTATGTATATTTGATGGTTTAGATGCGCACATGAAGCCCAAAATGAGGCGATAGCCTACTTTTCTTGTCTCGTTTTAGTGCATTTCGGAGCGCGCGTCGTGAACAACGTCTCTTGCGCAGACTTTTGTGCTTTTAATAGCTCTTTTAATGATTTAACGCGTCCGCAGTTTAGCAACAGTACAGACTGCATTTTCCAACAATCACCGATCGTGCTGATTCTGACGGTACGTTTGGGTTTTAGGAAGAAATGACAGCGCAACGCTGTGAAGGGAAGGAAGTTGCGCTAGACAGAATGCGTCTGTAATGGTTTCATCTCAAATATCTTCTTTTTATAATCTTTGAAAGCGGAAATCTAAAATACAATTAGAATAATATCCCAGATCTAAAGTGTAACCACGTTTTGTCCTCATTGTCACTCATTAAGCAGGGCTGTCGTGCTGTGCGCGCTGTGGCTCCGGGTGAGAGATCGCTCTCTCTTCTGGGCTGCGAATAGCAAAATTGCATCACAGACAAATTGTTTAATATTTTTATTATATATAGAAATGGTTGATATTCAGCCCCGTTGCCCTTTTAATACCGGATACCAAGCGGGAACACTGAAACGAGCGAACGTACAAGCCATAGTGACACGCGTAACGTTAAACCAATGGTGTAAACATAATCTGATGACTATGACGCAACGGGTTTTTATTTAAGAAAGAACGTAGCCTACGTGTGTAGGCTATGTAGACACAAGCAACTTTCACAATACTAACTAAAATACAATTAATATTATTTTATTGAATTTGAATTAGTCGTTTGAAGAGTAAAAAAAAAATCGGTCGGTCTGAACGCAAGTTGCAACCGGCAAGTCGGTCGGACTAAAAGGAAAAAAAAAAAAGGGGGTTACGGCAAACAAGAATATTTTTAAGGGTGGCCTAATGTATACAATTGTATAAGATTTCTACAAAATAATCAGTTAACACAGAAATCATGGTCTCCTTAGTATTCATAGGTTTATAGAGCAGCAAAGGAAACCATACAGAGTGTCAATCAAGTACATATTTGATATACCTGATGGTGACATGGACTTAGTTTCACATTTGAGGGAGAAATATCATCAAATAAAACCTTAAAAATCCACATTTCGAGTTTGTTTCTGATTGCATCTGTAGATTTCTTCTAAATTCACCAATTTAGATTTCTAAACTTCAGGGGAAAGACTCTTGATGTAGCTATGTAAGTCATTAACTTTAATAATAAGAATTTTAGGCCATACAAATTCATAACAACGTCCGGATTTTCCATACAAGGCCATAAATTACATTTAGCCACGTCTTAAATTGATATGCTCATTCATTCATTATCACTAGGCGGCCTATACAATTTATCGCGATAAAATGATATCAAGTTCGAGTCTATATCGTCAATACTCAATATCAATATAGAGTTTGATAAACGTTCGATGATGTTTATGTGGCAAAAGCACAACGAAACTCATTTGAAGCGCGCGCCTCACGGAATTTATCCGCTCGGCTCAAAGTCCAAACGGCAGCGCGAGCTCACTAGAGGTGACGCGTTTACTCTGATCGGCGCTTCAGAACTCACGACCTGATATTTGGATACTATGTATTAAATATATTTGTTTGACAGGAAAACTGTGCGCAAATAATATGTCTTTTCTTAAAAAATAAAATAAAAAAGCACCCCAGAAAAAAGGGCACTTTCTCTCTAAGAATAAAAAGGGCAGGTGCTCAAGCCCCCTTTGATGTCTATGTGTGCACGTGCCTGCCTGGAAACATCCTGTAAAATAATAAATATTAAATGGTAAATGAACTGCATTTATATAGCGCTTTCATAGACCTAATGGTCACTAAAGCGCTTTACATTTGCCTCACATTCACCCATTCACTCACTCATTCATACACCAATGGCGTAACGTTAAACAACTAAAATCTAAAAAAAAAAAAAAAAAAACATACACACAGACAACTATAGCCTACATGTTTCTGTGCCAACCTTTATAATATCTTATTGGGTAATTTTTTTTTTTTTTAACCAGTGAACCACAAACTAAATAGGGATCATGGGGAAATGATGTGGACAAATTATAAGAAGCATTTGGAGTCGATAAAAAAGTGAAACTCTGATTGGGAATAATTTAGAGCATTTATTATTTTAATTACGATGCAAAATACAATGAAATATAGGCTAAATCATAACTACAAAATATACAGTTAGGCTATTAAATGGAGATAAACACTCTGGAATTACATGAGTTCTTAAGACATAGTGACGTTTATCACACAATCAAAGTTACATCGTTAAGTAGGTGATGTCATATTTACAGCATTTAAAGAATTTAATACATAACGACAACGACACTGTTTTACAGTTTTTGCACACATTCTAACCGACTATCCTCCTCGGAGACGGAGAGTCATGTGAATAGTGCTTCCTGATGTGATCTCATAGTCTTGCAACTTCATGCCAGCCTCCAGTTGTCTGCCGTTGTAAATCAGTCTCTGCTGATCCTTGGGGACACTCTCTTTGCGGAAGATCTTAGTCTGGAGCTGATCTACGGTCTCATTTGCATCAACATCATAGGTTTTGGTCTGGCCCTTCTCGTTCCTGACGAACACTTGGAAAGGTCCAGGGTTCGTGATGAGCAGCATCACCACAGAGCCTGAGTGCAACCCGTAACTGCTGAGGCTTCTGGAATCATCATCAAGGTTGATATGGATACCGTTATTGATAGAAAGCTTCTGTTTGTGACGAGGTTCATTGAAGTCTTGAGAAATGACTTGCTTGAGTTCACCGACTGTGGCATTAGTGCTCACCACCAGCCGCTTCACATCTCCGTTCAACAGTTTTACTGTCAGTTCCATTGTCTGTCAGGAAGAGATTAATATAAAAGCATTAGACTAAACATCATAACCTCTATATATTTTTTTTAAACTAAAGATTATTAGCGTTATGTTAACATTAAATTGCAATATTTGTAGACAATAATGAGACTTACCGAGCTGGGTTGTGCAAATAGGCTGCTAAGACTTTCGTTGAATTGCTTGAATAAGTCTTGAAGTCACAACGAAATCTAACAATGTGTCTCTGGTCATATTGAGCCGAGGCATGAATATTTATAAAGCGCCAGCTCATGCTCCTCCTTGTTTCGTTCCCGAAAAACGAAACCTTACTCAGTCACTTTCTGTTTCTATTCTCACTTCATCACTGACACCATCACTGACATCACAGAAATCATTGATCAACACGATGTTCACTGCCAATAGCTGCCAAAAAACATTCTGTTTTTTTATTATTAGGCTATATAAAAAAAATCGCCTTTTCCTGTTAAGACTAAATGAAACAAGCAGACGACTGTTTTATGTTGATATGTTTTTAAAATAATTTTGTTTATGAAACATCTATGTTGATAAACTAAGCACATGTTAATGTAGATCACATTAAACAGATAGTCCCGCAGCAAAAAGCCTATAGCTACCGAACGTTCTTCCATATTACATGGTCTACTAATACGAAGTTACGTTTTTGTGATAACCTTAGGCTACACAACACGTGCTCTAATAATCTAATAATAATAGGGTTTTTTTTATAGCCTAGGCTACCTTTCAAGTTCTTCTAGGTTCCAAAATGTTGGATAGCCTAAAGAAAACAGATCATGGAATGAGAATTCAAGGCATTCCACATGATCACGTGATTGTGGGAAATCCAGGCGGAGCGTAGGCTTGTCGTCACGATAACAAACGATAATTTGCTGGACGATAAATTGTCCATGAAATTATTGCGATAAACGATTATATTGTCGTTCCGAGACCATTTACATCTAAAATAATGATAATGGCATAATAATGCAGGTACGCCTTTTCAAAGATTAGCATTAACACAGAAAATGGAAAACATTTTAAAT